GGGACGGGAGAGGAGGGGACCCCCCCCGCCCGGGCCGCCCCCCCCGCCCCTGCTGACGGCCGCGCCATGTCTTGCAGAGCTGCGGGAGCGCGGGGAGCCGCTGCGGGCGCTGGGCTTCGCGGCGCTGGTGCTGGGCTCCGTGCTGCTGCACTGGACCGTGTCCCTCATGGACCCCGGCTTCGTCCCGCAGGTCGGTGCGCGCCCTCGGGGTGGGAGGGGGGGCAGTGGATGGCCCCGTGCTCCGCAGCCCTGCCCGAGGGGACCCCCGCCCATCACCTCGCGCTGCCCACCGTCCGGCTCGGGGCTGCTGTCCCTGCGGCTGCCCGGCTTGCAGGGAACCGGTGCGTTCAGAGAGCCCTCCTGTGACACGCCCTACAGAGGCGTTCGTGCGCGATGTCTCACGGCAAGGCGGGGGGGGGGCAACCAAGGCACCAGCCCCCTGCGGGGTTTCAGTAGGACCCAGAACCCGCTCGCTGCTCGTGCACAAGTTGTTACCTCAGTCTCCTCCAGCTGTAGCAGCTGCTGTCCTCCTCTAGGAATTGCTCTTTGGTATTTCTAAACGTGGCCGTTTGTAAGCCTCCAAGAAAAACGATACAGGCAAGCACCTGGTGCTGTGTGGATCCACAGATGGTACGGCAATCTAGGTGTCACCGTCCAGGTTCTGGAATTCCCCCCTCACCCGATACTACTTCTTAGTAGCTCTCCTCTCTCATCACCTTTTTGTAGGCAGGGGTGAGCGAAGAGCAAGAAGCAATGATACCTCCGCTTCCAAAGACCGTTCAGCTACGGCGCTGTGGCTACTGCATGGTGAAGGTAGGCCTACGGAGCTCTAGGAGCATCGACTCTTCTGGCTGTTTGTTTTCATTCTTTTTGATCCGAGCACGTTCGTGGTCAGCCAGCACACATAACAGGAAGGTGTCACTGTCTTAAGGTGACAATCTAAGGCAGGAGCAGACAGCTGCACATTTCTATTAAAAGTCCAATCTTGAGATAAAAGGCGGGTAACCAAGGGGAAAGGCAACCCGGTAGTTAAAATTGGACACTGAGACTTGTATTTATTTTTCCAAGGTTAGAGGTAAGTCCTTGGGCATCTCAAAACCAAATAGCCCAATGAGCAAACTCTCTTTCTGCCTGACTTATCAAAGAGTTTCATCTGAAACTTATCAAAAAGTTTAATTTCCTGCCCCTGGGGCAAGGGGCTGGACTCGATGATCCTCTGGGGTCCCTTCCAGCCCCAGTGTCTATGAAATCTATGAAAAGGTGTTGGTTAAGAGTCTGAAGACTGGAGTTGAGCTGAGCAGAATGTCTTGGACAGATTTATTAGTAGAGAGGAGCTGATTAGAGGCTTGGGAATAAGCCTAAATTCTAACGATCAGGCATAGTTTGGCCTAGAGGAGAAATAAGAACAATGATCCATCCTGGCTCTGGTGGATCCTGTGTCCCTGGAGCATAGGAACATGGAGCTGTTTTATAAAATGCAGTGTTAGCCAAGCTCCTGTAAGTAACCTGGGGCTGACCATCAGAAGGAGCCATGAGCTTAGGCTGGCAGACAGCATGTGAACCTCAAGGACCAGTCTTCCCTCCTTGTGCTCCCTGCCCGGCCACACCCTCCAGCCCCTTTTAAAGTGGCAGAAGAGGAACTCGGTTTTCATTCTTCTCTTGTCCAGCACCATGAGGACAGTTGCTCTTTGCCCGGACACACTCTGATCACTCCCTTCATTGGCAGGTATCTCAGGTTTTCAACTTAAAATCCTTCCTGCTTGTGTAAGGGAATCGCCCTACATTGCTGGGAGTCTTTTATTAAGAATGGAATCCAGTACAGTGGGGTGAGAGACTTGGCTGGAGGACTGTAGGTGATTAAACATTTCCAATTTTCTGAAGAATAATATAGTGATTGCTCTGTCTAAATAACATCTAAGCAGCATTCAGATTTCCCCTGGCACTGGGCACTCTAGGTGAGTGGTCTTCTGGTTGAGTTCTTCGTTTCTGTGGCTCAGCAACTATTTCATTGCTCCAGGCAGAGGCACAGAGTAAAGAGGGCCACTGCACAGCTTCCTGCCTCTGAGTACCTGGTAGCCTTGTAAGGGTGCTGGCTTGGAGGATTGGCATTGTGGATTCAAATCCCATGGGTGTCTGATCTCAGCTGAGCAGCTGAGCCATGAGGAGAGTGGGAAAACAGGAGGCACCACCAGCAGTGCTCTTCTTTGACCCAGGCTGGCTAGGTTATCCCCACCCTTCTCTTCAGCGTACATCTCAGGATGCCTATGCCTCCCAGCTTAAGGAGGGTGGGTACCACTGCTCCTGTGTACTAGGTTGAGGTAGGCAGAGATGAGTGCTGTCTTGCTCAGTAGATGAGTGGGTGCAGTAGGTAGATTTGAAGAAGTCATCACTGTTCCATGTAACACTAACTATATAGAAAAGATACAATATGTAGTTATTACCGAAGTGTATTTAATCTTAAACTAAAGACACCAGTCTTTAGTTTAATTAGTATTATAAAAGACACCATTCTTTATAATAACTAAATAATTACTGAACCAGTATTAAAAGACACCATTCTTTAATTAGTATTATTTTTAAAAGACACCATTGTTTAAAGATTAAATACAGACCTGTCTTTATCTCTACTCCAACACCTCCAACTGTTTATTGCCCCCACACCAAGAGACCTCCCCTCATATCCTCTCACTTTGAGCAACATTTGAACTCCCAGCTCTTAATTATATACAAGCCCAACACCTTAACCACCATGCTACTGGTAGTTTAGTACCATGTTTTTAAGAACTAACATATATCTTCTGTTGAAGCTTATCCTTTTCACCTTCGATAGTATTCAGTATGGTTGAAATATTTACCTGAAGTGTAGGAGTCTGCTGGATCTAGTCCCAAGGCAGATGACATTTTATTTTACTTGCGTGATGGGGGAATAGTTTCAAATAACTGACACCACAGTAACTTGCCCCGTGAACCCCAGCAACATAGTAGGTAGCTCAGGTGCTGAAGCTTTAGTGCGCTGGGCCCCTAGCCCTTGTGCAGCTCAAGTTGACTGGTATACTGGCTGCAAGATTGGGAAGCCCTGCTACAGTGCACAACTCCATGGGAGGCAGGTAAGTTCTAAGGTTGCTTCCTATGAAGCAGTGCAAGCATCTCCTGTGAATCACATTCTTCAGTCCTGAATTTTCCCCCCTGTTCTGTCCTGGGACCTCTCTGAGGTTGTGACTTCTACCAGGTGGCATGGTGCAACTTGGCCTGTAGCGCTGTGGGATCCTTGGCTGGGGAGAGGAATTTCATCACAGGATCTTCAGTGTTAGAGCTGCTAGGACAGCTTGTTCCAGCTGCCAGCAGCCCATGTGTGACATGTGGCTGTAGGCAGTGGGCTAGTGCCAGCTGTTCAGCAGCTGTCAGTGATAGTAGCCAGTCACATGTGCCTGGACTGGTGATTTATGGCACCACTCAGTTACCTCAGCCTGTATCTGTGCATGGGGCAGTAGGGGCTAGTGGCTAGGAAGTTTGCATTGAACCTTTTGGTGGCCTGGTGGTTGTGCATCAGCTGGAGCAGCACCTGTGGAGGACAGCAATACAAGAGCTGGGAAAATCTTTTACACCAATATGTTAAGCCAGGGGTGGCCAACCTGCAGCTCTGGAGCCGTACGCAGCTCTTCAGAAGTGAATATGCATCTCCTTGAATCTTTGCACAAGCTCATGGTGAATGGTTTCAATTTGGAAAGATTCAAGGAGATGCATATTCACTTCTGAAGAGCCGCATGTGATTCCAGAGCCGCAGGTTGGCCACCCCTGTCTTAAGCCATAAAGAAGCAAAAAACAGTGATCCCATGAAGGAACCATCTTTATTTGCTGCAGTCTCCATCACAGAACCCTTTAGTGTGTGAAGCTGCTTTTTGATTTTCACCCAGCTGAGTCTGTTAGGAAAAGACAGTTATTTACTATACTGTTGCAGCACTTTCAGCAGATCCTGTTGCATGCTCAAGGCTTTGATATGCAAGATGGGCCTTCATTTGTGCATGGAGATGCACCAAAAACAACAGGATTCCTATGGGAGTAAGAATCTAACTCGGGCAAGGCTGAATGCTCAGTGCTGTATCTAGATAAGGATGTTTGAGAGCTTGCTGGTGTTAAGGCTTATAGAGAAAGGATGTGAGCTGAAATGAAATTCAGCTGTTACAAGCATAAAGCATGCCAACAAGGTGTGAAAGGAAGAGTGGGAAGAGGAGATAGCAAGCACATTATGGATCTCAGGAAGTGAAATCTAAACATTCTTGGAGAACATCAGCTATAAAAGTAGAATGTCTAGAAACCGATGCTAGAAACCCTGCTCTAGCAACGGCCTGGTTGCAAAAGCTTTGCCCACCGAGACGTTAAAAAAAAAAAAAAAAGACCCCCAGAATTAATATGATATAGCTAATAAAGCAGCATTGAATAAGAATTCTGCAGGTCCAGGGGCAGAAGATAAGCTACTGGACTCTGCCTGTCTGTTGAAAGTGAACTAGAGAGGAGGAAAAAGATGAGCACTAACCTATGGAATGTCTAAGAAATGAAGGAGGGCATTGAGCCAGTTACCCAATTGGTCATTAAAGCCTAATTGTAATGTGCAATTTAAACCTTAAATATTTAGATGTTTATCTTACTAACTGGATGTAACTAGCCCCTTCCCAGTGAGAAATACAAACCAAACATAAATGATGACAACATACTTTATAGCATCGTTAAGACAATAATTTATATTTCCAACAAACAGACTTACTGGAGCATAATGATTCATGCCACATAGTGCTTAATTTAAACAAATTTTACTGCCAGGTGTCCTTTAGCCATCTAAGTCAGCCGGCCCTGGTGGGTTGCACCCAGAGTATTCAGGGAGCTGGCGAGCATCATAGCTCAGCCCCTGGCACGGATCTTTGAGAGTTCTTGGTGCTCTGGTGAAGTGCCCGATGATTGGAAGAGGGCCAATGTCATGCCTATCTTCAAGAAAGGGAGGAAAGTAGATCTGGCAAACTACAGGCCCATCAGCCTGACCTCTATCCTGGGGAAAGTCTTGGAAAAGGTTATCAAGGAGGCCATCCTTAACAGACTAGCCGAAGGCAATATCCTGAGGGATACCCAGCATGGGTTTGTTGCGGGTAGGTCTTGCTTAACCAATCTCATTTCCTTTTATGACCAGGTGACTTATCACCTGGACAAAGGGGAAGAGATCGATGTCATATACCTCGATTTTAAAAAAGCCTTCTATCTAGTATCCCATGATCACCTCTTGGTTAAACTGGCAAACTGTGGCCTTAACATCAACATGATCCACTGGCTGGGGAACTGGCTCCGCGGTAGGACCCAGAGGGTGGTGGTCAACGGGAGCCAATCATCTTGGTGTGCTGTGACCAGTGGGGTCCCACAAGGCTCTGTCCTCTGGCCTATAGTGTTTAACATCTTCATCAGTGATGTAGACATTGGTGTCAGAAGCAGACTGGCCAAGTTCGCTGACGACACCAAACTCTGGGGTAAAGCATCCACACCCGAGGACAGGAGGGTGATCCAGGCGCATCTGGACAGACTCATGAAATGGGCGGATGAGAACCTGATGGTGTTCAACACCGAAAAATGCAAGGTTCTCCACCTTGGGAGGAAAAACCTGCACCATGCATATAGGCTTGGTAGTGCTACACTAGTTAGCAGTACAGATGAAAGGGACTTGGGGGTCACGGTTGACCACAAGATGAACATGAGCCTTCAGTGTGATGCTGCGGCTAGCGAGCAAAACACTGGCTTGCATGCATAGATGCTTCTCAAGCAGATCCCGGGATGTCATTGTCCCATTGTACTCGGCCTTGGTGAGGCCTCAGCTGAAGTACTGCGTCCAGTTTTGGGCTCCACAATTCAAAAAGGATGTGGAGAAGCTTGAGAGGGTGCAGAGGAGAGCCACGCTCATGATCAGAGGGCAGGAAGACAGACCTTATGATGAGAGGCTGAGAGCAATGGGGCTATTCAGCCTGGAAAAGCGCAGGCTCGGGGTGATCTGGTGGCCACCTATAAGCTTATCGGGGTGCTCATCAGGATCTGGGGGAACAACTGTTCACCAGAGCCCCCCCAAGGGATGACAAGATCGAACGGTCACAAACTCCACTGTGACCAGTTAAGGCTGGACATAAGAAAGAACTTCCTTCACTATCCGAGCCCCCAAGGTTTGGAACAGACTGCCACGTGAGGTAGTTCAAGCTGCCACTTTGAACGCCTTCAAAACACATTTGGATGTTTATCTTGCTGGGATCATATGACCCCAGCTGACTTCCTGCCCCTGGGGCGGGGGGCTGGACTCGATGATCCTCCGGGGTCCCTTCTAGCCCAAATGCCTATGAAGACATCGTGAGTTAAACCCCCAGCAAAGACAAACCATAGATTAAACAGAACAGTAGTTAGCAGGTATATTTCTTAGTATTTAACAGACATGCTGTCCATATATATCAAATAAAATATACCAACATCTGCAATGGGAGATGACCATAGTAATTTTCCCATTACACAGCCAAAGCCAGTAATCCTTCAGTATCCCCAACAATTCAACTGCATATTTCACAATAATACTTCCAATTCACATTCCAATTATTTACTACCATAAATATGCATAGCTCTTTACAGTACTGATAAGAACCCTCCTTTCCTAAGGAAGTGAATAAAAGAGTTTCATAGCTGTCATGATATAACTAAAATTACAAATGGTAAAAGAAGTAAGACAGCTCCTCCAGCAGGAATGTAGTGGTAGGTCAAGGATGTAACAACCTATATATTCTCTGGAGAAATCATGCAAGTGGCTTGTTCGGAAGGGTTCCAAGTATCCAACACTTACTATATTAAATGGATCTGCTAATAACTAGCTGCAAGACAAAATTAGGGGAAATTTAAATTGAAGATATCAAAACAAGTCATTCACTTGTGCCTATATCTTTATCTGTGAAAGGGGATGGCGACTAGCGTTCAAGCTACTCTACAATTCTTATTAATGTGATCAGTCTCAGAGGATCTGCCTTGCTTATGGGGCACTGGTTTCTTGCCAACCCCCTATTTCACAGGGGACGCTAAGTCTGGTGGGCTGTCATTGCTGTTTGCTTATTCCACAGCAACCAATGCGAGCCAAGCACTGCCGGGTGTGTCAGCACTGCGTACGCCGCTTTGACCATCACTGCCCCTGGATTGAGAACTGCGTGGGAGAGAAGAATCACTCACTTTTTGTAGCCTACTTGGCCATGCAGCTTGTGGTCCTGTTGTGGGCTCTTCACATTGCTTGGTAAGCCTGAGGCCTCTGGCAGGCATCATTTATTTTTGAGGTTTTTCAGAGCTTTCACAAGAGCTGAATATTCTCAAAGTCCAGCTAAAGGGCTTGGGCAGAGCAAGGAGAGCAGTGGGTGGAGTTCACCTTATACCTTGTTCACCCTTTGCTCTGCTCCCCTCAAAGGGGATTGCTGTTGAGGAGTAACCTAGCCACTGGGAGTGCGTCTTCACGAGCACGTGTGGTTTGTGGCATCACATAGTGCATGTGCTGCACATGCATGTGTTTGCCACACTACAAATTTGGAGCATGGCAGAGGTTATTTTTTGACACTGGGGGATTCCAGTGTCAAAACACACACCAGAAAAAAGTGGGGTGGTAGACATGGTGGCAGCCTGCTTTGTGCAAAACGGGAGCCTGGCTGGCCAGAGCCATGCTCCAGTTGCCAACCAGACTGCGCGCCCAGATCGCTGCTGTCGGAGTCCCCAGGACACCAGCTAAGGCTGCTGGGACCAGCCTCCTCTACCCTACCTGGGGCAACTTGCCATGCGCTACAGTGCACGTGAAGGGGCGTTCCACAAGGACAACTAGTAACAGCAGAAATATATGCTGCTGCTATTTGTGTCTGGGGAACGCACATTCCTGCTCGTGGAGATGCACCATAGATGGGTTTAAAAAAAAAAGTGTTTTGTAACAGATAAAAATCCTGACCCCTCTCAGCAGTAACAGCAGATGGACAAGGCAGTTCTAGGATGAGAATCACTCAAGAAATTGGACATGTGGCTTAACTACATTTTATGAAAACAGCAATAGCCTGAGCTCTGAGACTTAAGGTCAGATACTCTGGATAGACATGCTACTTACAAATGTTGAGCACTAAGCCTGTGTGAAGCAGCTAGTACTTGCTTTGGATTCGGCCAATTTGGGGGACAGTGATTTGATTTGGCAATCCGTATCACTGTCCCGAATCTGATTCAGAGATTTGGCTGCTGCCAAATTGGCCGAATCACACAGGCCCCATCCCCTGCCCACTCTCTCAGCCCCAGCTCCTGGCTCTCTTTTTTCCAAAAAGCCCTCACTCACCGGCTGCTGCCAGGCGGGGGACAATCCCCACTGCCCCTCACCGTGTGGGGGACTCTGCCACAAGCCCCCCGCCCGCTCTCCCAGGCCCCCCATGGCTGCCCTGCCCAGCCCGGCCCTCCCCAGCTCTTTGAAAAAAATAAAAAAGCCCCGACTCACTGACTCCTGCCTGGTTGGGGGGGAGGGGGTGGTCCCCACTGCCCCATGCTGCATGGGGGGCTCTGCCATGAGCCCCCAGATGCCCTAAGGTTGCTGCAGCAGCTGGTGAGCCCAGGTTTTTTTTGTTTTTTTTAAAAGGGCTGGGAGCAAGGGGGCTCATGGCAGCACCCGCCCCCCCCCATTGTGGCATGGGGCAATTGGGGGCAGTGGGAATTACCCCCTTGCCTGGCAGCAGCTGGTGAGTGGGGGCTTTTAAGGAGCCCAGAGCTGGGGCCAGGCAGGGCAGCCATGGTGGGGGGCTGGGACAGTGGGCAGGGGTTGGGGGGACTGGGGGAGCAGGCTGGGGATGGGGCCCTGGAAGAGGTCCCCCCATGGTCCCCTCCTTCAGCCCCCCCACTCCCCCACCCTCTACTTACCAGCATGGAGTCCAGGTCCAGCTCCCTGCTGCAGCCGCCAGGGACTGCCCGAATCGCTGGAACTCTCTGAATCTTTTCCGAATTGATTCAGAGAGCTTCGAATTGATTCAGACCTTTTAATTGGTCCCAATTCAATTCAGATTCAGAGGTTCTGCCACCAGATCTCCTCTGAATTGAATTAGCACCCAAAGCATCGCAGAGCCCTCCTGAGCACATAGTCTTACTCCCAATAGATCCTCAGCGTTTCCCAAAGACTGCTGAAAAAGTGGGGAGGTAGGTAGGTTGAGAGTCTGGCTATAGGTCTATCCCATCAGAGCCAGCTTCCATTCTCCATATTCTGGACAGCACTAAAGACCTGAAACAGCCTTGGGAGAGGGAAGGCTGTTGACTTTGTTGGCAGCAACAATGTAGGTAGTTAACAGAGTTTGATCATTTGGATTGCAACTATTGGTATGTTTCTGCTTTAAACTTGTCTTAAAGGAAGTCATTTGGGCCTTGTTGGTGGCTAGTTAGCTTTTCCCACCTTATTTCAAAGCAAGCTTTATTTACAGGTGGCAAGTAGTGAAACTCCACATAATGTATTACTGTGTCCTGGCACTGCACTTACACAGCTCTCCAGTGACCAACTGGGAAAGCTGGTTGGCTTTCTGCTTGTCAGGAGAAGCTAGTTTTATAAGGATTTGGATGTTCAGTACATCTTTCACATGTGGGTCCTACTGAATTCAGAATTGACTTTTACTTTTGGACAAAGTTTTACCATGCTTCAGAGCTCCAACACCTGTATGAAGTGTTATCACTTATCAGTGTCACAATCAGAAGTGGAGTTGTGAGTCAGGCTTAAGCTTGTCTTGCTGTTGCCTGGTCTAATATAATCTGAAGTCCATATCTAGCCCACTATAACCAGATTGTATTTGTTTCTTACCTGAAAGGTCAGGCCTTTATTTCGAAGGGTCATGGAAGTGGCTGAAGCACAACATCTTCCTCCTCTTGTCCTTTGTCCTGATGGCCATATTCACTGTGGTAGCGGTGCTGCTACTTGTTTCCCACTTGTACCTGGTCTCATGCAACACTACTACGTGGGAGTTCATGTCCCGCCACCGCATCTCCTACCTGCAACATTGCGACACAGAGAACCCATTTGATCAAGGGCTCATCCGCAACCTCTGGAGATTCTTCTGTACCTGTCACCTTGTTGCATGGGAAAAAATGTATTTCCAGGAAGACAGTGACCCTGTTTAATTGTAGGATGTAAAGTCAAGCAGGCTTTAATGGTTGACTCAAATGTAATTACAAGAGGAAATAATTTAACTACAGGATGAGCCCAAGTGCCTGAAGACTTTAAACAATTTACTGGTAGAACTGAAACTTTTGGGTTGCAACACAAGTGCTGTCTTCATTAGTTACTGCTTCCTTGCAGAGGGATTGTACTCCACAGTGGCCTATGTGATTGATAATGTGACTTGCCTCATCCACAGGAGCAAACCTCCTTAAAAAGGGGAGCAAAAAAAGTGGCTCAGGTTTTACTCAGTACATCCAGGTAACAACAGGCTTTGTTCTGGGCATTCCCAAGGGGAGATTTCCGATTCGAGTGGAGGCAAGACTCCTTCTACTTCAGGTTGCTGATTGAGGCAGTGTTAGCAAGAATTGATTACAAATTACAGCTTTGCCTTTAAAAAAAACAAAACAAAACAAAACAAAAACAAAAAAACAAAAAAACCTACTCTCTCCCTTCCCAATTACTGTCTTTCCCCCACCAGGGTAAAGCAGCAGGCAGAAAAGTTAATTTCTGACAAACGGGCTAGAATCAGTACAGTCCCTGTGACCTTTCTTCAGCAGGATTCTGCTTGCCTTGCCAGCAGAGGTAGGCAAATAATAGGAAAGTTTTGAATAAATACTTGGACAATGAAAAGCAAGTGACAGTTCACTGGATGCCACAGTGTTGTCCTTTCCACAAAGATTTGAGACTTACTCCTAATAATATGCATGAGAAAATACTGTAATACACTCAGTTCAAAATACTGAGTCAGAGTTCATGATGGGTTGGGTTACTTATATCCAGCAAGTCACCAAAGCAATATTATTGGCCTACAGATAGCAAAATACATTAACAAAAACTTCAGCTGTGAATGAACAGATCTGAACATTTTAGGATCTGTTCGTGAACAGAAAAAAAAATATTTGTCTACTAGTTTGTTTATGCACAGAACTCTTCGTCTTCTCCCATTTAGCTTGTTTGGGCAATGACTACCTCTAAATGTTTTTCTTGTTATTCTGTAATGTTATATAGAGAAATGTAAATGGGATGAGCTGAGGTAGTTTTTAACTGGTAACAGTGCTGTTTTTTCTTACTTACTCTTCTAGTAGTAATAGCTTTACAATTAATTTATAAATGAAATCTCCAACACTAATAATACCTGTAATATGTTTTCAACTTAAAAGAAGAGACAGTAGGCCCCTTTTTGTATTTTAAGAGAGTTAAGAGGCAAATCAAATAAGCAGTGGCAAAATTACTAGTTACTAATCTTACCTTAGATTAAAATGGGAAACTCAGTCCGACATTTTAGTCAGCACTGGGCACATCTTAATAACACTGTGCAGTAGCATGCTGGGCAAAAACCCGTGCTAATATGCTACCACAGGGGCTGTCAGCTGGGGTGGGGAGGGGTGCATGTACCCTTGGGGGTAGTTGGGAAAGCAGTGGCACAGAAAAACGGGGGGGGGGGGCACCAGCACATTGCACCTCCAGCACTTTTGTTTTTGCTGGCGCCACTGGCACTTCCAGCTCTGCTGCCACACATCCTGGCACTTCTGGGTTTGCTGCGGGCACACGGGGACACCCTGGTCAGCAACCGGCCACTGGGGGACTCTCTGCTTCTTGACCAGTCACTGGGGGTACACAGGCCAAAAAAGGTTGAAAATACTGCACAGTAGCGCAGGGGTTATTAGGCTACTGCACAGTAAGCATCACAAAAAAACATGTGCCAGCACTACTGTGCAGTAACTATAGTTACTGTGCATTTAGTTAGTAATTCATTAGGCAAGTACTAAACTAAATGCACAGTAACTACGGCACATTAATGAACGTGTAGATGTGCCCACAGAGAGTGAAATTATCTGTTCAGTTTAAACGGAACTGCAAGCTCCCCCATGGCACAGTAAGCAAGAAGTATACAAGTAATCCCCAGCCTCAGAAAACTAAATCTCTGCACTGAACCCAAAGTCCTGAAAATATTTCTAAGCATCCAATTTTATAAAAACCTTGAATAAAGTTTTGTGCCTTACTGTCTTTCCTGACACGAGCCAAGTTGGCAGAACCTACTCAGGGTCCAACATCAGTGGATGCTTCTATTTAGAACGGAACATGCAACATCAGAGAATCATCGTATTGAAAAAAGACAATGGGAAATTCTTGTTTCCAAGTCCAGATCAAATCTGTTATTTTTAAAAGTTAGATGGCAAGTTTTTGCGTCTACTCTGCCTTATTTGGGGTAGAACACACCCTCCTTACCATGGTATCTGCTCATGGAGATGGATTCTTTCTGGATTGTACACCACCATAAGGAAGCATTTCTCAGTACAAATTAGTCTGTTTTGCTGATGTAGCACCTGCCAGAACAGACTCCACTTCATACGGTACTACTGATTGCAGCCATCACCAAAATAAAAATGGTCAGCAGGTATAAACTGAACACAGACAACTTGGGTTCAGTGGGAACATTTGTTTCGTAAATGTATCTGGTTGCATTTGAAAGATTTTTAATTTATTTTGTAATGTAAATCAATAAAAGATTAAGCCCAGCTTTTGCTGTTCTTTGCACCTCTCTGTGGACACTCCAAGTGCTCAGTTCTCCTCAATTAGCAGTGTAGCATACTGGTTAACCCTTAATAGCAAAAAAGAGTCAGGAAAAGATGCCACCCAACTTTTACAAAACATTGTTAGAGCCAGAGATGAGCTGATAAATAGGACTGAGATAAACACACACCCTGCCTCCAGGCACCCCTTAGCATGAGGAGGCAGCAGGTGCCGCTGAAAAGGGAATGTGACCCAAAAGACATTCAGTACTAATTGCACATGGCTCTGCAAATGAGAGGGCTAAGATCAGTGTGGGCTGGGAGGATCTTAGACAAGTATGTGCCTTACAAAAGCACTTACCTCGGTGACCCCTTGAGTACTTGAGCTAATCCATTTAATGGACGTTCTTCACCAGTTAGGCCCAGATTTCTCTTCTAGAAACAGCCCAACCTTCCATGGGTAAAAACTCCTGCCTACCTCTGCAGAAGAAGGGTCAAAAGAGCAACCTCTCCATGTCCCATTTAATCTTCAGCTTGTCCTAGAAACCCTTCCCTTTCTCTAGCCTATTTGCCAAAGCCACAAGACTAAGAACCTATTTACACAAAGTGTTGCCCACCGTGTCAAACGCCACTATATTCTAGGTCCCCTGGCAGCTCAGGAATGTCCTACACTATCGGCTTCTCACGTGGACAGTATCTAAATAACAGTTGCTATTTTTGACTTCTTGCTCACACTGATGAGCTGGGAAGCAGCACTGTCACCCGCAGAACAGTTTGACAAGCAGAAGTTTAAAACAGCTATCGTTCAAGGTGCCACTTACATCACCCTTATTCCAAAACCTCCCCCCACCCCACATGGCTTACACGTATCCTTTTCTGTATTCTAGGCACTATTTAGGCTGTTGCCTGCCCACAGCTGTTACACAATCAACGTTTATTAACTTTTTCAATATAAACACCTGCATTCTTTTTTATATTATCTGAAAAGGGTACAACATGTACATAAAAGCTATGGGTCAATAACTTGGCTGCAATTATCAGCATAACATAAATGACTCCCCTAAAGACAACACAAACACAGGAGATGCATCCAAGCAACTGCAGCAATGAAAATGATACTGGATTTGAAAACAAACTTGCTACGCGGGTCTGTTGGTCCAGACCCTGGGAAGTTTATCCAATTAGTCAGAGACAGAAGTTTCTTCAGGAAAAGTACATCTGCATCTCCAACACAGCATATATAAAAGCCGTGGGGGTTTTAGGTCAGTACTTGTTAAAAACAAGATTTAACCATAGCAAGTCAGTTGAAATAGTCTCTTGCTGCTTCCATAAAGCAAGGCAAGACATTTGAGCAAGTTTCCAAACCTGACCTTCGTTGTCCAGACTGTACTAACTGCATCACCACCAAACTCCCAACAGGAACAGCATAAATCAATTGTGAAGAGAGAAAAAAAGTGAGTGCTGCATCCCTTCTAGAAGGCAGGCTGAACATGCCAGTTCCCCTGCCTATGATCAGCCTGTTCTGAGAAGTTAAGCAGTTTGCTAGACCCTTCTGCAGCCATAGTTTGGACAGTGGTGGAGGCTCTGTTCCACTTGGATACATTGGGGTGTTAAGGCTAAAGTAAAATTCAGATGCCCGCGTCCATCCAAGGATGGCACTACAGTTTGCCGAGGACTGTTTCAAATACACCCAACAAAAATGACCCCTCTCAAAAGGTAGTTCTCACACAGTGCCCTCCCCCTACCAGAGGGAAACAGTAAAATGCAATAGAAAAAACAGCTTGCAGACCAGCCTGCTTTCTGCAGTTAATTATATCAGTCCAGTGAACAGTCTTTGCCCGTCAGTGACTTGATTTTTCCATGGTCACTGGCAAGTCGCTCTCTAGAAGCTCTCAGGGTGCTGGTAGAGATCACAACAGTCAGACTTCTAGAAGGTGTCTGGAGACAAAGTCAAAGTCCTTGAAGGCAGCCTGCTGCTTCTGGGATAGAACACGGAGCTTGTCTGGAGGAGTCAGGACTGGCTTCTGAGAGGTAAACTCTTCATCAAAGTTGCTAATGTCAGTAGGGTCTCTTAAAGAGGGCACAAAAGGGGGCTTCAGCGTCCTGGCAAGCAGGGCATTCCAGTCAATTATCTGTAACAAAACACATTACAAACTAAATAGGTGCCAAGGAACAGGCTCAGAGATGGGGAAACAAGCTAGGAAACAACAGTGCTGTGTAGCCTCCCCGCCTTCCGTAGCATCTGCAGCACATGTGATTTCTACTAAATATAAGTGCCAGGATAACCACTGCAGCCAGGTGCAAAGGGAGAGCAGTAATTGCTCCAAAAGTAGAGTCCTCCATGTGACCTAAATCCGTGCTTCAGAGCACCAGCCAAGAAGCTAGGCTGCCACACAGACTGTATTTAACAGGGACAAATCCAAACAACCACGATCATGCTCATCAGGAAACCCCCAAGCAGTTCACGCTGACTAATCCTGCTCCCTTGCATTCCCCCTCCTCTGTCTGGACCTATCTAGGACATTTTGCCTTACACTGAGATTGAACTTTTGGGGATAGGAACCATCATTTTTCCTGTATTTCCATAGTGCCAAGTCCAATGGGGACCTGGTTCATAACACCATGTTATGGTAATAGAAACAATTAGCAACATACCCTGTACAAAGGAGGGTTTTCACTACTGTTTGTGCTGCCACAGGTTTTTATTTTAAATACACAGAATCATTCCCCAATCAGTGCTGATATTGATGCGACTCAGATACTTTATATACCAGCTTGTAGGCAGCTGAAGTCTTAATATCCCAATGGTCTTCCTTTGCAAAGTAGCACTTACTATGCCCTCTCCACCAAAAACTGGCATTTGTGTTCCTCCAGATACACTCACAATTCCAGTTTTATATTTTCTACTTCAAATTCAGAGACAAAGATTGGCAGTCTGTGCAATGATACCTGCACTTCCATACCCACAGAAAAGGATTCATTGATTCATGAGAGAAACAGAGAGAGAGAGGGGAACACAGATTGAAAAGAGATCTTGTACTTGGAAATAGAAGGGACCAGAAAACAGACTCAGGTGATGTGGTTCTGAAAGAGACTTGTTATGGAAATGGATATCTGGCTGGGCAACCACATCAGAAAACTTGCATCGTTAACCAACAAAACAGGCAAGTTTGCCTCAAGAATGAACGGAAAGCAAACAGCCCTGGGACGTGGGTAAGGATGGGGCCTGAAAAAGCTGAAAAAAACCCCTCTTACCTTAAAGAAGGCCTGGGGCTTAATCTCCTCTGCATCCCTCTCTCCTGCCCCAAGACGACGCTCTGGACATTTCTGGAGAAGCTGCAGAAATAAATAATCCAAAAATTCAAAAGCTGAAACAAGGACAGACGGACATGAACAACACTTGAGGGAAAACAGAAGCTTTCGTGTCTTTTTCTCCTTTAGAGTGAGGTCTTAACTTGCCATCATTAGGTCACATTCTACCCCTCATTAACCTCCCACTGATACCAGCAGGAGATCCACTGTGAACTGCAGATAGTACATGTCCTTAGCTGTCTAAATGACCCACAGATCATAAGAATTCAGAATATGTCTCCAGAGAACGAACTCCTAGAAGCATGAACATTTACCCCTTTGAGAATTGGCAGCAATAGACTCCAAATAGGAGCTCAGCCTGTTCCTCAGTGGCTGCAGGGACATCCATGCATGTAGTGATAAGGTAATTAAAGGATAGAGAAGTATATGCATAGGTTTCAAGGGCTCCCTATCAGTTGACTGGGTCTGAAAACAAACTCCGCTGAAATGAAAATGGCACCTAGTCAGAAAGAGTCTCTGGATATATTTGAGTTGAGGCTTAAGTGACACTTGCTCCATTTGACAATGACAGTACCTTGCGGATGATGGAAAGTGCCTCTAAGGAAAGGAATCGTGGGTAGCGGACCTCTTCATTGACAATGCTGTCAAAGACCTCTTCCTCATCATCTCCAGGGAATGGCGACTGCAACAGAGACCCGTTGTTATCTGACACGCAGAGTATCTGTATCCAACCGTTCATTTATTTTCTGTGCTGCAAGATTGGGGTGATAATACCTGCCCACTTTGGAGAGTTAGAGGCAAGCGCTACAAATGAGAAACACATTCCACAAATGCCCAGGCTTAAAGATGGGGAAGGCAGGTTTGGGAATATTACACGGTGAGAGCTGGTTTCAGATACCCAGAAATGCAAGACTGGGTTTGATTACAAGGGGGAGACTCTTCACTTAAATTTTTAAGACACAGATGAAGAGTAGTTAGCTGCTCCCAACTGGTGACCCCTCATGTCACATAAGTAGGCCCAGCTCTGCCCCAAAGCTGATCAGTGAAATCTTCACAGAGGAATGTGGTCTTACCTCACCAACAAGCATCTCATAAATGAGTACTCCTAGCCCCCACCAGTCTACTGCCCGGGTGTACGAAACGTCTGTCAGGACTTCTGGAGCCAGAAACTCAGGAGTGCCACAAAAGGTGTTTGTACGGTCCCCAAAACCCATCCCTGTGAAGAAAAGGCCACTGCAGAACATATCACATAGGTTTCCAATTGGTTTCTTTTGGGGCATAATGGGCAATGTATGTGATGGCAGCAGAGATGAGTGGTACATACAGAAGAGTAGCAGAGACGGGTACACGGGATGGGAAAGTTGGCATTACAAACAACACACTAGGAGGGACCTGCCTCTGATCAAGAGTTTATCCCCCTTTTTCCATGCACCCAGGAGGAAGCATAGACCCTGCACTGCCCTGAGATCCAAGGCCTCCAACAGTTTCTCCTTTAAACAAGCTGAGGCTCAAAGAAAGTTAAGGCTTTGCTTATTTAAACAGTGCAGCAATGAAGCTTCCTACACACACAGTGGTCACACAGTGATGTTCTCCTCAGGTAAACAGCCTGTGCTACTCAGTTTCCTGGTTCCCCAGAGCAATCAAACACCGTCAATCCCTGTATGAATTATCCACAAAGTTCACTGTGGTCAGATAGGCAGGATTTCCTTATGTAGAACTGAACAGCTGCACCAAGTGCAGCTATTTCACTTGGTGTTTGCAAAAGTTATCAAATCTTAACCCTGCAGTTTGACCAGCTGGGGTGATAGTTCAGTCTCGGTTCTTCTGAAGGAGCTCACCTTCCTTACACAGCCCAAAATCAGCAATCTTCACAAAGCCCTCAGTGTCTAACAACAGGTTATCCAACTTCAGGTCCCTACAGACAGAGAGGAAGAAAAGAATGAAAGAAGAGGCTGGCAGCAGCCGTCCAACAGCTTTTTGACAGGAGGCAGGATCCCAACTATTAGGAAGAGGACAGTAGAATATCTGTGGAAAATCTGCATTTGCTCAAATATTTTACTGCCTTGGAGGATGCTCTTCAAAGCCTAACATTTGCTTGATTTCTTAATTGAAAGCACCAGGAAATGGCTTTAAGCAAGCCTCTCCTGGCATAAACAGAGGTCATCCAATAATAACAGGGCCTGTCACCAGGGTGTCCCTGCAAAGAGGGGATGGTGATAAAGCGGATAACCCTGCTGCTGCACAGTTAATGAATTACTAGCAGCACATCCAATGAATAGCTTCTTTACATGCATTCCCTGGCATAATTAATGGTAAGTGGCCATGGGCAATACAGGCAGAGCTGGGAGTGTCCTCCTCTTCCCAAATCATCCCAGACAAGCATAACAAACATGATGGCAGGAGGGAAATGTAAAACGAGGCTGGCTCGGACACAGTGCTAGAGAGCCCAGCTGGGCAACTAACTGCAAACTGCATGTGTGCTGCAAAGGCAATTTAATCTTAGGACTGCTGGTTTCTGACACTTTCCTGGCTGCGCTGCTTTTACCTGTAAATAATCTTCTTCTCATGTAAGAATTGGAGTCCCAAGACTACGCAGGCTGTGTAGAACCTGAAAGAAGAGGAGGAGTCATCACTTCAGAAGAACAGGAGCTAAGTTAATACTCTATGGTACTTGAAAACTTAGGCCAATGGCAACTTACCGTGTCACATGCTCTGGAAAAACTTCTGAGTGAATGTGTGTCATGAGGTCACCTCCAGGAGTATATTCCATCACAAAACAGGCATGATCTGGCGTCTGGAAACACGCAAACATGTTCACCAGGAAGGGGTGTCCAGAAGAGTTGACCACTTCAAAAATGCGCTTCTCACAGTGCAAACTGCAGGGATTCAAAGTAGTAAAATGGCAGCACCAAAGCTTTGCAAAGTATGTGTTTGGAGAAGGAAGTAAGTCGGAGATCCCTGCACTTAGACTGAACATAAGAGGATCATGCAGTATTCACACCATACAATTCCTAAACTCCTCCCATCAGGCGAGTGGTTTTTTGCTAGAAATCAGAAAGTGCCACCTTTTAAAACTTGTTCTGAGCCTCGATTCTAACTATCTGAAGCTGAAGGGGGGACCAAAGTCACATTAGTAAGGAGCCTGGCATGCCTACTAGCTACTAACTGCAGAGTTGATCTCATAGATTCTGGTAGAGGTACGACCAAGACTCACCTATCGATTTCATCTCGGCTAATAATGTCTTTCTTCTTCAGGGCTTTGATAGCGTACAGCTTCCCTGTTGCCTTGTACTGGGCTAGAAGCACCTAAAACAGCAAAAAATGCATCATTCCCAAATTATTTTGATATGGTCTCACTTGGTTACCTGGACTCCCGCCACACAACCAGAAGGCAGCCACACAAACTGTTCTCATCTGTTTCAGACAGTAGCTGTCAAAAGCAAGGTTAAGTAACTCCTAGAAAGGAGTGTTGTTTTCCTGGGTGACCTTGCTACATAGACCTGGATGAAATTCACTATAAATTGTGGTTTTTGAAAAAATCCACAGCGCAAAGCTGACGATTATTGAGCCTCAGCTCAGTGCTCCAGACCACGGATCCCTTGGAACAGAAAAGCACCTAATGCTGTTCTTTACTGACCCCTAAAGGTGACTGGAGGAGTGGCCCTGATGGTTGCTATGCGAGGTGAGAGGAGATGGTTGATGCTTATAGTCTAGAGGTTTTATCCAGTTTTGGAAGCCCTCAAAGCCCAGGACTGGTAATTAGCAGAAATACCAGCTAGAGTCATTGCTTGCATTTTCATTGAAAGTAGCATCTTCTCCTTTTGAAACATTTCCATTCCAACACTGAGCTGGGGGGGGAAGAGTGAAGCCCAGCTTGGCACCCATACCCCATCCTCTCACTCCACAGGAACCCCTTGTGCCCCCTCTACCTTTCCAAAGTGCCCACGTCCCAGCATGGCAACGCAGTGAAAGTCCTGAAGCTGGACATTTCTCTTCCTGTGGGTACAAAGAGAAAATATTGATGGGACAAGAAACAGGAGACTTGAAGCTCAGATGCGGATACCAAAGGAGAAGAGAGTTTCCACAGGCAGCCTGAGGGAACCAAGTTAGAATGTAGCTGCAAGAGCGCTGGCTGAGCATAAATCCATACAGAAGAAGGTGCTGGCAGGGGGAGGAAAGAAGAACAAAAGGAGGATGGGATATGGGAGTACTGAAAAGAAAGGATTCAATACTCAACTAGGGCTAGGGAGGGAGGATAGAGTACAGATAAGGGGTTGGTGGTTAAAGGGGGAATACAAAATGTGTAGCTGAATTCACAGATGCCCTGAAACAATACACTGGCCACACAGGGCTACTGACTGAGTTCTAGTCTAGAGCTCCTAGAAAATACAAAATAAATCAAAAGCCTTAACCCAGAACATCCTTTGCTGAAAGCATGTTTCATTCTCCTGGTGAGGGAACTGAAGCAAGCAGCTTAGGAGGACCTAAGTGTCTCCTCCTGAGAAAAAGGCAGGTAGGGCAAGAAATATGTCTGACTGCCCTTGTTATCAAAGGTGGCATCCACAGACCTCTGAAATAAGTGTGAAAGGACCAAAATGTTCAATGACCCCCAAATAGGAGATCATTAAAGCTAGCATAGATCAGCTGATGTTTGTTATTCACAGGGTTTCCAGCAGCGTGGACTCAATATTACTGTGTGTTTTCTAGCCTGCTTTTACAGTATTTTCTAATCGATATCCTCACTATATGCAGTCCAGTTACTGCATGACAGTACAAATAATCTCTGTGCCTCCCTATTCAACAGAGACTAACACATTTGCCTAGAGTACTTTTAAAGTACGTTATTTAATATTCACAGAGATGCTTAAATAGGTCATATGCTTTGCCCTGGAAAATTGAATATGCTTAAGTATGAGGGGCCATTTGCAAGCATTTAATTAATTTACCTTCTATTAGAATGATCCATTACTTTTATTGCACAACATGAAAAATAGGGTAAGGATCAAGGGCTAGTACACAGATAATGTTACATAAATGTCTGGGTAAATAGGTAAGATGCAGAGTTTTCATTGTACTGTTCACAGAGTATGAGAAGTCTTTTACTGAGAAACAAAAGAACCCATTAACAGAATACAACGTTACATGGTTAAGCTTTTCAGCTCAATACCCACGTTCTCTGTTGATGGCATGGGGCTGTTCTGGGACACTTACCTTGGAGAAGCTCGATTTGGTGTTTCCGTTACAGCCAAGCTGCAAATCCCTTCGACATGCAGCCTCTTCAGACACTGTGGAGAGAGAGGAAGTTACCATATGCAGCTCTGTAGAATGGGGTTTGAAATGCTACTGGACCAAATCAGAATGTAACTTCAACCACCACATCTAAGCTTCTTCTGTGTCATCTGGGGGACTGTGGTGTCAACACCTACACAGTCAAATGGGCTGCCAACTGGCTGGAGGGCCACACCCAGAGAGCGGTAGTGGATGGGTTATCATCGACCTGGAGGGATGTGGCCAGCAGGGTTCCGCAGGGCTTGGTCCTCGGGCCCGCACTGTTCAACATCTCCATCAGTGACTTGGACGAGGGGGTAAAAAAGCACCCTGTTCAAATTTGCTGATGACACTAAGATGTGGAGGGATGTGGCCACACTAGAAGGAAAGAATAGGCTACAATTGGACCTAGACAAGTTGCAAGGGTGATAATCCCAGATGATAATAGGATGGGATTCAACACCGACAAGTGCAAGGTGCTGCACCTGTGGAGGAAGAACCAGCAGCACACCTACAGGCTGGGGAAGTCCCGTCTCATCAGTGCAGAGGCAGAAAAGGATCTTGGAGTCATCACTGATGCCAAGATGAATATGGGCCGGCAGTGTGGGGATGCAGTCAGGAAGGCCAACCGCACCTTGTCGTGCATCCACAGCTGCATCTCAAGCAGGTCCAGGGAGG